TATAGTCCAGTCTCCTCCTGCACCACCATACCCTTTACCCCCTAATAATTATCCATTCCCTTTCTTTGCCCCTGATTCTATTATATTCACCAGTTTATTCTGTTCCTCAGATTTATAATTCACTTGATTTTTAGATTCACTTGTTGATATATATGTATTTATTGATCATAATTTTTATCTTTACTTTTTTCTTCTTCCTCCTCTTCTTAAAGAATACCTTTCAGCATTTCATATAATACTGGTTTGGTGGTGATGAACTCCTTTAGTTTTTTCTGATCTGTGAAGCTCTTTATCTGCCCTTCAATTCTGAATGATAACTTTGCTGGGTAGAGTAATCTTAGTTATAGGTTCTTGCTATTCATCACTTTGAATATTTCTTGCCACTCCTGTCTTGACTGCATAGTTTCTATTGAGAAATCAGCTGACAATCGTATGGGTGCTCACTTATAGGTAACTGTTTTTCTCTTGCTGCTTGTAAGATTCTCTCTTTGTCTTTTGCCCCTGGCATTTTAATTATGATGTGTCTTGGTGTGGTCCTCTTTGGATTTCTTTTGTTTGGGGTTCTCTGCACTTCCTGGGCTTATAAGTCTATTTCTTTCACCACGTGGGGGAAGTTTTCTGTCATTATTTCTTCAAGTGGGTTTTCAGTATCTTGCTCTCTCTCTTCTTCTGGCACCTCCATAGTTCTGATGTTGGTGTGCTTGAAGTTATCCCAAAGGTTCCTTACACTATCTTCAACTTTCTGGATTCTCTTTTCTTGCTTCTCCATAGGAGTGTCCTTTGCCTCTTTGTATTCCAAATCTCTGACTTGATTCCTGTGTTCCTCTAGTCTGCTGTTGGGTCTCTGTTAATATTTTTTATTTCAGTCAGTGTATGTTTAATTTCTATTTTATCCTTTTTCATATCCTCGAGAGTCTCACTAAATTTATTGGCCTTTTCTAGGAAATTCTTGAAAAATTTTATAACCATGGTTTTGAACTCTATATCCAGTCTTTTGTTCTCCTCCTTTTTTTTTTTTTTTTTTTTTTTTTTTTTGAGATCTGTTTCCTTGTCTCCCCATTTTCGCTGCCTCCTTGAGTTGGTAGGGTGGCTTTGTGTGTTTAGTGTCTTATATGTGCCAGTGGATCATCCTCCCCAGTTACCTGAGGTAGACACTCTTGGTGCTCCCATTTGTGTACTGTGTGTACAGCCTTGTTGTAGTTAAGTCTTGATTGTTGTTGGTATCAGTGGGAGGAATTGACCTTCAGGCCAATTGGATGTGAGTATCAGCTGTGTCTACGCTGGGATACCTTCTGTATTGGAGACAGTCTTATCCATGAGCCTCTCTCTTTCTTTCTAGTTGTAGATTTCCCACTCAGCCAGCTTTCCTGTGGTTTTAGATAATGTCTGTTCTGTCTTTAGGTTGTTGTTTTGAAATTGTTGTGGGGGGCGGTAATTTAGGCGCTTACCTAGGCCGCCATCTTGGTTTTCCTCTTGCCCCACTTTTATAAAGATGTCTCGTCTCCCCTATATAAGTATCCTAAAGTCTCATCTCCTTTACCTGAGTGTTGGGCATGTCCACTCTTCTATTTGTCAGGATATCTCATTTTGTCAAGATGAGCATCTCCAGTCCTTTCTCCAGAGGGTCAGAAAGTCTCCTCTCCAATTTCTAGGTTGGAACATCTCATCTCTGTTTCCCAGAAAGTGATGTGGCTTTGTCCATATACACCCCCAAACACACACACACACACACACACACACACACACACACACACACACACTCTCAAACACGAGTGTAGCAGGATGCATCACTCAAATCACTTGAGTTTGGACATGCATTGTTTCCCTTTCTTCCCAACAAGAGTCTTTATTTATCCTTATTTCCTAGGATGACAGGTCTCAATAATCATAATCAACTCTTTGTGTCATGAGATTTTTATCTCTGCTGCCTGCATGTCAGGTGGTCTCCCTCTTTTCCACCTGAGTATGCAGAGGGCCCACCAAGCTTCAAGAGCTCTCAGGCACCTCTCTAACAGGATCTCTTACTTCCCAGATATGAGTGTCACAGGATGTGGGTCTTCCACTGGTGTATCAGGAGACCACATTTCCCCTCTGCAAGAGTCCACTGTTTTTTTTCTCCTCCCTCCCACTCTTCCTTTCTTTCTCTCTTTCTTTTTCTTCTTTCTCTTTCTTTCTTTCTTTCTTTCTTTCTTTCTTTCTTTCTTTCTTTCTTTCTTTCTTTCTCTTTCTTTCTTTCTTTCTTTCTTTCTTTCTTTCTTTCTTTCTCTTTCTTTCTTTCTTTCTTTCTTTCTTTCTTTCTTTCTTTCTCTTTCTTTCTTTCTTTCTTTCTTTCTTTCTTTCTTTCTTTCTTTCTTTCTTTCTTTCTTTTTCTTTCTTTCTTTCATCTTTTCTTTTCTTCTTTCTTTTTTCTTTCTTTCCCTCTACATCAGGCAGTCTCACCTCCTCTATCTGAAGGTCAGGAGGTAGGAGTTTTCACCAACCTTCATGTTAACAGGTTGCAGTTCAAATCAGTGTCAAGATTGTGCTTGATCAAGTAACAACAACAACAACAAAAAATCTTTGGAAATATCCTCCTATATAATAAAGAGGTAACATGCAAATTAATCCTCATGCTCTTACAAAATGGCAGTGGGGCTTTTGACACTGACTGGCATAGAAACCAACCAATCAGAACCAAGTCTGGGTGAACTGTGAAGGCAGAACCTAAGATGGGGGCTGAGTAAGGGTTTTAAGGGCAACAGCTGTTTGGTTTAAGGTGTAAGAAGGCAGTTCAATTTTTTATTGACTGGTTTGACAGTATAGTGCATATAGGGAATTATGTATTTTTGTCTGCAAAGAGCATCTCCTTCTGCTGAAAAAGGCTTCTTTCTCCCTCACCCCATTCAAGCAATCCTATCCTATATAATATATCTATACTAATAAAAGGGTAATATGCTAATTATACTGGGTCAACAGGCCAACTTTCAGACATCTGACTTCCTTCAGGAAAAAGCCATAGTGGTGGGGACCGAGGCAGAGGTAGTTAGAGTCAATCAGGCCAGCAGGGGAGGGCAGTTAGAGGAGATTAGGCAGTCAGGCAGAGACAGTTAGGGGCAATTGGGCAGTCAAGCAGGTGAGTGGTTAGGAGCCAGCAGTCCCAGATTGTGAAAGGGATGTCCAACTACCAGTCAGACATCCCCAGAGGAGTCCCTGATTGGAGAGGGTGCAGGCTGGGCTGAGGGAACACCTCCCCCGGCCACACACACCCCATGTATGAATTTCATGCACTAGACCACTAGTAGTTACAGAAATGGCAATAAAAATTCACAGAGTGATATTACAGTTTTGACTGTTAAAGAAAAGCCAATTCAGGTGTTTTCACAGATTTTGATGGGCATGAAATTGATATGGTATTTAGATCCATGAGAATAATTTACCAGAATGATGTGACCATTTATTTTAAATGTTAAAATGCACACTTTTCTGTAAATCACAACTTTATAAGTATTTAAATATATGATCAAAACATTTTATATAAACTTTGACATGAAGAGCAGGATCTAGTTTTTCAAAACATTGAAGGTTATGCAGTAACAGGGTTAAATGACCCAACGTCTGGATTCCACAGAATAATTGTTTGACTCTGCAGAGCGACACCCACTCCTGGTTTTAGAAGGGGCTGCTAGGCATCCTGCCTCTTGAATGTCCCCTGGTGCAAACCTTGAGGTTCTGACTCTCTTCTGAGGCCTCAGGTGGCTTCTGACCTGCAGGGCCATTTGTCCTCTCCTTCATACCCTTACAGAGTCAAGGCCATGCCATCTCCACTCCTGCTCTTCCCTCCACTGCTGTCCCATCCCAGAGAGACCAGCTACAGGTGCAGCTCAGAAACCTGTCTCTTGGTGCCCAGCACTCAGCCCCAGCAGGGCTCAGGGTCTCCCCTACATCCCACACTGAGACTTCTTTCATGGCCCTTCTGTATGATGAGCAGTTTCTAACTTGAAAATGAAACAAAAAATTTGAAATTGTGGGGCTTACTAGACAAATGGCAAGCCTCTTGAGGTCAAAATGCCCAGCAGTCTCCCAACGGTCTCTGCCTCACCAGGGCCTTCCTCACCTTTCCCACGAGGCCACTGAGACCTTTGCTGGCTCCAAAAGCACTTGTGCCCATTCACCGCCTCCTGGCAGACACACACAGTCCACCCCTCATCTCTCCGTTGGCTTCTCTCCACCACCTACACTTACTCTGCGACTGGCACACAACCCTGGAGGCATTTCCCAACAGTCTCACCAGGCTCTGTGAGAACCTGAGTCAAGGTCGACGTTTCTCATTGTCACGTTCACGCCGCACCTTCACACAGTATGGCCAGGTTCTGCCCCCCTCCTACAACTCCCTGGTGCCAAACTTCTCTGGCATATCAGCTCTGCAGGCCTGGCCCTCTCAGCCTGGGAAGTGTCCACCCACTCACCTCTGTTCATTCTCCTTCCACCCATTAGGCTGGCCACCCTGCCAGGTGCCACCCCCAACAGGTGCCATACAGAACCTGCCACATCATTGGCCGTGGCATCTGGCTGCTTACCTGTCACCTTAGGGAGAAGTGAGACCTGGACATTAGCAGCAGTTGTGGGGGCAGGACAACAGGGACAGACATGGGAGGACTGACAGGCAGGAGCAGCAGAATGAGAAACTGGGCTCTAGGGGGGAAAGAGGACAGACAGGCCTCAGAGGATAACCGGACTTCCAGTTGGGGACTGGCCAGTGAGCAGAGAGGAAAGCTTCCAGGAGCACAGGCTGAGGTCCAGTGGGACTCAGAGAAATGCAAGGAGCCGTGGCATGGAAGTCGGTATAGAGACAGGACCAAAGAGGGGGCTGAGTCATCAGCGCCTGTGGCTAAACGCTCATGCCGAAGCTGGGGGGGGAGGAGAGGAGGGGTAGCTCTGTGACCTAAGGGACAGCAGGGTCTGCGCTCCCAGTTTCTCCTCAAACAGGCAACTGAGAAACAGTTTCATTTCTTATAAATTTATTACATAATAATATTATAATAATTATTATCAATAATAATAATAATATAAGAAACATAGATCTCTGTGGGGTGTATCACAACGTCAGGGTCAGGAGGCCTCAGGACTGGAGCAGGGGGAAAGCCCCTGGATGGAACTCCATACAAAAGGAGGGTGAAGCGGTACTGACCCTGTAAAGTTAAAAACCCAAATTGAACGGAACCAAAAACCCACAGGTGAGTGTGAGACCGAGTGTGTATGTGGCAGCCTGTTACAGTCACGGCTGCTGTGTGATCTGTTCTGTTAGTGAAGGGTGGCTGGATGTGACTCTGCCCAGGGAATGAGGCCACTGGGCCGGGAGGGGGTTGGGCGGGCACAGACCGGCGTGCCAGGCCCCTGGGCTGTGAAAACATCTGTTTTCTGGGTTTTTTATTTTTATTAAAAAAAGCTAGAAATATAAACAGAAACTTGTGAGTGACGTGGATGGAGCTTAGTCCAGACTCCAAACCCTAGGTTTAAAAACATCCCAGGGCCCCCCATCCCACAGGTCATTGCTGAGTGTGGGGAGTCACAGTAAGGGGGGCTGGGGTGCCCTCGGGGGGGGTCTCTGCTTCTCCCCAGGGTTTACGGTGGCCTGACTCTAGGGGCGTTTCCCTAGGATCCCTCAGAGGCCTGGGAGGGGGGCGGGCACTGCCTCCAAGGGCCTTGGGGGGCACCCCCAGCAGCAGAGCTGGCCAGGCAGCCTGCTCAGGCCAGGCAGGACTCTGGAGGGGCAGGTGGGACAAACGCAGGTCCCAGGGAACAGGAGGGCCTCGGACTTTCTTTGGAAGCGGATGGGTGCTTTCAGGCATGCACCCTGCACATGCTCCCAAAACCCTTGCACTGGTTCAGGGCCCGCTCCCCACTCAGGCACACACGGGGCTCCGAGGCACTCAGTAGAACCCACAGTTTCACACAGTCACACGCTTGCACACACACAGGCGGGACAGGAGACTGGGGTCTGAGGCAGAGGCTTCTTTGCTGTAGTTGCCCAACAATGTGGGGAGGAGGCTAGACTCCTCCTGGGGAGGGACCCCGTGAGGGAGATGGCTGGGAGCAGGTGCCAGGGTCCATCCCCACCCCTGGCGAGGGTCTCCCAGGCCCCCAGACCTTGCTAGTGCCCTGCAGGCCTGGCAGCCTGCTGCCCCTCCTCCACGCAGCACCGAAGGGTCATCGGGCACGCTAGAGCTCAGCGAGGGGAGGAGGCCCAGGCAGAGCCCCAGGGCGGCTACTAGGACCCTGGCCAACCCCAGACCAGCTGGAGCATCCTCCGCCCACGTGGGGTGGCAGTGGCAGTGAGGGGCCAGAGATGGAAGACTGGACAGCCACAGGGAACCAGTAGGAGGCTGGGGGGTGAGGGGAGGCAGGAAGGGAAGCTATTAAGGACAGAGATATTTGTTCCTTTTCTCGTTCCAAATATAGAGTGGATTAAAATATGCAAAACGGGGGGCTCCTTGGCCCCCAACCGAGAACCCCAATGTCTCCCCCCTCCCCCCGAGTCACCAAGGTGTGTCCTGACCCCTCGCATGCTGGACTAGGTCCCCCCTCTAGGAGCAGCCTCCGGAAGATGTGTGGGAGCCGGTCAGGCTGGAGACCCCCCAACCCCTCGGGCTCCACCCTCCCGTCCCCACTTCCTGACCGTGTGCTGGGTTGGGGCTCGCCGGCCGCGGGAGGGCGCTAAGCAATGTACAGGGCAAGTCTCTGAGCCACGGCAAACAGGACGATTCATGCAACATTCCTGGCCCGGGCGCCTTAGTGGGGGGCAGGGGCCGAGCCCGCGGCCCGGGGTTGGTGGGGGTGGGGGTGGGGGCCCTGCCCGCAGGGCGCGGCCGGCGCGTGGAGGGGGTGGGGCGTCAGCTGCCCTCCAGCTGCCTGAGCGCGCGCTCGATGTTCATGCGGTGGCCCACGCGCGTGACGCCCAGCTCCACGAAGTCGTCCTTGGTGAGGGCCGGCAGGTGTGCGCCCTCAATCTCGTGGTCCTCGAAGCGGTCGCGGTGCTCGCCCAGGTGGATGCTCTCCAGCCAGTCGCCCACGTCGAACTTGCTCCACAGCTGCAGCGGCTTCTGCTGGAAGGGCCTGCGCGGGCCGGGGCCTCCCGGGCCGGGGCCGGGGGTGGGCGAGGGCAGCGGCGAGGGCGAGGGCGAGCGGCTGCGCGCGCTCACGCTGCGCACCACAAAGCGCACCTCCTTGGGCTCGTGCGGGATGGAGAGGCTGGACGACTTGAGGATGGTGGGAGGCGTGAGGCTGAAGGGCCGCCCCGCGCCCCCCGCGCCCGCCCCCAGCCCCTCCACCCGCTCCAGCGACGCGGGCTTCACTGGGCTCGGGGCGCGCCGGGCCAGAGGGTAGCGGCCGCCGGGCCGCACCTGGAAGGAGGCCCCGCCGCCCGGGCCCCCAGGGCTGCGCTGCGCTGAGATGGAGCTCAGCTCACCGAGGCTGCTGAAGAGCCTGCGGAGGGAGAGGGGTCAAGGCCAGATGAGGGGCGCCAAGCGGGATAGAGAGGGCTCGGGGGAGCTGGGTCAGTGGCCAGGAGGATGCTCAGAGGGGGCTGGGACTGGTGGGGTAGCCTTAGGGCCAGAGGAAGCAAGAGGGTGGGATGGTCATGGTTTTTCACACGCCATTTGTTTGGGTGCCAGGTGAGAACCAGTGCCATGCTGGTGTGGGGGGAGGACCCCTAGACTGAGTGGAATGATGAGGGAGAAAACCAGCAGCAGCCCCCTACACTCCACAGGGACTCCAAGACCCGCCAGCCCACGGGAGAAAAGGCAGCCTCTCCTGGCAAAGGGCTGCTGCCCATCCACCTGGCCCTGGAGGGGGAGGCTCTGGCAGAATCCTCCCCAGTTCCCATACAGCTCTGCTCTCAGGAGACCCAGAGCAGCCTGGGCTGGCTGCAGGGAGCTGCGTCGTGAGAAAGGCTGGCTGTGAACAAGCCCATGACACCAGACAGACCACGCGGACAAGCAGCACGTGCAGGGCAGGCCTGAGGCAGCGACACAGTGACACCGTCTCCCTGCACAGGCCTGCACACGGCAGCAGCAACAGCATCCACATGTGTCACAGACATGCAGCAGCAGTGGCAGGGACCTGCTCGTGACAGAGATGCAGCACATGTGGGCGGGCATGCATGCGCACACACCCACACACACTGTCGACAGATGGTACCTCACTTCCCAACATCATCTGGCAGGACCCTCCAGTCCCCCACCAGCGTGGCCGTGGCGGGAGGCCTGCCTGGGGACTCCTCCAAAAAAAGCCCCTCCCATGACACCCCCCCTTCCATCCCCTAGTGTGGCCAGAAGCCTCAGGAGACTGCCAGGAGCCCTGGAGCCCCAAGAAGCAGAGCAGAGTGGAGACCCAGCGGCCAGGTGCAGCGCATGGACAGAGGCATGGGATGAGCATGCTCACTTACACAGCCGGTGCTCAGGACCACCGCGCAGCTAGACAGAGCAGCCACATGCAGATGGGCAGGAGAGAGCAATGAGAGAGAGTGTTAGCAGCCCGGCCCACACAGCAGGCGCGCGGCCCACAGTCACGACCACAGTCAGGGCAGCCAGGGGCAGGGACCCCTGGCCGGACACCCAGTGAGGGAGGAACTCCAGTGCAGTGGGCCCAGGTGTGATGGAGGGAGGGGGCAAATCTGAAGCTGCTGGGGTATGGAGGGAGACCAGACCAGGGGCAGATCTGTCTGGCTCCTTGTTTGCCTGGGATCTGTTCTCTGGTTTGTGAGGTACAGACCACAGAGTCCCACCCACAGGCTATAATGATCACCCCAAGCCAGGCTCCAATCCCGAATACAGCAAGTGATCAACAGGCTTCTGCTACCTGATGTCTCATGTACCCTCACACTTGACTCTGCTCCCATCCCACCTGCCTCTCCCTGCCTCTGCCTGGCTAAGGAATCCCCTCAGCCACCCCCACCCATCTCGTGCCGTCCTGAACTGGCACCCATTGCACAGCATGGAGTGCTCTCAGCATCCAACCTCCCCTTAAAGCAGGTTTTGTTTTTTTATCTCCCACCTGAGCATGGCAGCCTCTCCCTGGAGACATAGTTCTGTCCCTCCTTCCACTGGCCCTCTCTCCTCAGCCTCTTTCCCTACCGTCTCCTCCCAACTCCTTTGACCCAGAGCAGAGCCTCTTGAAGAGGCCAGACCATGCCCTCTACCCCAACAGAGAGGAGCTCCAAGGACATCTGGGATGGGCCCAGGGAACAGACACCAACCAGAAGACCCTGCCCGACCACACCTGACCTCCATGCACTGTGGAATGGCTGAGGCAAGAATAATAGCCAAGAGGGCACTGCAAGGGGGTGGTGGGTGCCGGGGGTATTGACCACTAGGGAGGGGCAGTGCTGGGAAGATGCTAAGTGGCCTGTGGGATTGGGCCCAACACAGGCAGGCCCACCAGGGCCCTCACACAGCAACCCTAGCCTGGGACAGAAGTATGATGACGACTTGGCAGGATCACAGCCAAGCTGCAAAGATGGTCTGTGTGGGCTGTGCTGAAGCCTCCTGCCTGACAGTGAGGGTGGGTCTGAGCCGGAGGCCTGGAGTGAGGGTGGGTCATGTGCCACCAGGCTGGAGTAGAGGGAGAGGGCCAGCACATGCCTAAGACACCCAGAGCATCTTGAGGCAGGAGGCCTAGAGGAGCCTAGGGAATAGTCCAGGAAACAGCAGGAGTGGCTGGGGCATCACCACCCAGGTGTCTGCTTCTCCTTCCCTTCCTGTTGGGGACAGGGAACTGCCCACATCGTCCTCAGGACAGGAGTCCCAGCCGTGTCTGCACATCATCACTGTCCATCACCCCTCTCAGCTGTCTGACTGCCCCCCAGCGAAGCTCCAACCACAGATGGCCATGCCAGAGCACCTGCCAGCCTCCCACCCTATAACACACAGTCCCATCTCTCAGACGCCTTGGCAGCCCTCCTCCAGGTGGCTCAGCCAGGCTCTCAGCATCTCTCCCAGCGTCTGAATCTTGTACTGTCCTGCCTCATGACACCTCAGCCAGTGAGGTCTGGCCAGGCTGCCAGCAGGAGCCCTTGCTGACCTGTGCGCCTGCTACCTTTCACGATGCCCTTCCCACTACTCTTCCTCCCTACTTGGGTTTCCCAAGCTGTCCTTTTAGTTGGCACTTTCTCCCCCATTTTTGCTACAGCCAGTGTGCCCAAGAAGGCCACACGGGCGCCCTGGCCAGTCTAGGTCTCCAAATATGCTCTTCCTCCAACCAGTCCTCCCCTTACCAGGGGCCTATAGCCACCACTGGTGTCCCCAGGATTTCAGCCTCGTGGCTGACAGAGCCCAGCTCCCAGCAGTAACCTAGCCCTGCTCCTTGGCCCCAGCCACCTGTGAATCCAAGGTGTCACCCAGGACCTTGCATCTCACTTCCTCACAGCTTCCCTGAACTCGCAGTACCTAACACGAATCCAAGAACACAGATGCAGAGAAAGTGACACCAAACAAAAATAACGTGATTCCCAGGCTTAACTACTGTGGGCCGTTGGTGTCAACAGGTCAGAACACATCCACATTCTGGCCTGGCCTCTGCTTGAGGCCTCTGTCGTGTGGGAGCCTCATTTAGAGAGATAAGCTTGAACAGGAGCACAGAACTAGACATAGGCTTGTAAGCTCCACCCACTCCAGTGACAGTGCCCACCCCTGCTGACTTCAACCTTGACATGCTACAAACGTCCCTACACCCCCTCATCTGCAGCACCTTCCCAATCCCCCATCACGTCTCCTCGGGACACACTGGATGTGTCCCAACCTCCTATCACCTACAAGGATATCCTGGCCCCAGCACCCCCATTCCAACCAGCACA